TCTTGTCTTTTGTTTTATTTATGTGATGGATTACATTGATTGTTTTTCTAATGTTGAACCATCCCTGCATACCTGGTATAAATCCCACTTGGTCATGGTGAATTATTTTTTTGATATGTTGCTGAATTCTATTGGCTAGAATTTTGTTGAGGATTTTTGCATCAGCGTTCATAAGGGAGAATGTTGCTCCTTATCATAAACTCTTCTGAACTGTTTGAGTTGTTGCCATGTTTTACATTGATGTGTAAAAAGCTGATTACAAATGATTTTCACATTTATGTTTTAGTGCATTTTAGAATTTCATATATTAAAAATTTTGTTTTAACTAATCTGCGGTTGTTTATATAAGAATGTGACTATGGATTCAATTGAAGTTCTTTTGGGGACTAATTTTTGTTTTGTAATCAGTGACTTTACCAAGTATTAATACGGTTTGAATGTTTGACTTTTGACTTTTCAGGGTCAAAGCAAGTTGGAGAAACAGCAACATCTGGAGACTCCATAGATGGCTTACCTCGTACTCCTAATACCGTCTTTGATTTCCCACCTCCTCCATTAGACCAAGTGCAAGAAGAGGAATGTGAAGTAGAAAGGTAATTCAGTGACACCTTTGGAGAGGTTTAGGGCTCATTGCTTAACGTGTTTTTGAATTGCTTATTATTCCTGTACTTTGTAGTATTTGTTTACCATATGTAATTTTTTGGGAAAGAACTAGAACTCATTGGCAGTAAATATTAGGTAGGTACTGAAATTTTCTTTAATTTAGATTTTATTAAATCATTACAGTATCCAGAAGAACTGATTATCAAGCCACTATACTTTAATCCAGTTTTGCTTTTCTTCGACATAAATTTCTTGATCACTATTTTGTTTTTATGTTTACTCTTTACTCTCCATTGCTTCAGGGTGATTGAACATGGGACACCAAAGCCTTTTCGAAAGTAAGTGATTTTTAAATAGCTTTTAATAAATGCATGTTGTAAGAAATGTATGTTTCGCCTAAAGTCCCAGTTTTAAAGGGTAGAAACCCTGTACATGACTCTGTTAGACAGTATAAAAGAAAGTTCTATATAAGCACGAGTTATTCAAAATATATATTGAGGTGCATATAACAAATGTAAGCTACTTGGTAGGAGATGATGGTTTTTCAGGTCCTGTGCTAAGCCATACTTTAGAAATCTGACTGATTTACTGTACTGTGAAGACTTGTATTTTTGCTCATTGTCCACCTGATGTTTTCAAATGGGATTCATCATTTTCTTTTCATTAGATTTGACAGCATAGCTTTTAGAGAAAGTCAAAGTGAGGATGAACAATTTGAAAATGACTTAGAGACAGATCCACCCAACTGGCAGCAGCTTGTTAGTCGAGAAGTGTTATTGGAACTAAAACCTTGTGAGATCAAAAGACAGGAAGTGATTAATGGTGAGTTTAATCAGTTTTTATTTTTGTTTTGTTTTGTTTTTTCAGTTCCTATATATTGAGTTTTGTAAGGGGCCAAGCAAACCCCTCCACCCTGGAGTCTGCTTCCAAGTTTCTGGTAGCCTTTCAAAATAAAGTGGGAATTATACTACATAGATGATCTTTGAATGCTTCAACTAAAAAAATGCAAATGGTTCTGTGACTCTTATTGATAATTTTATAGGGAAAAGTGTTTAGCCTTAGGGTACTTAAGGTCTGTAGCATTATGATGTTAAACTTGAAAAATCCTTTAGGTAACATTTGCCCCGCCCTTTTAGTTTCAGGCTGTTATTTTTATTCATAAATTATAAATGAGGAAGCTAAAGCTTGGGGAAATTAGTTGAGTTAATTAAGATCATACAGCTGATAAGTAATAAGGTGAAAACTATGATCCTGGTCATCCTTTTTCCTAGTGCAGTTGTTCTTCATTTCACCCTAGCATGCATGTGACAGATAAATGTGACGTGGATGCTGTCCCCTCTGCTATCCTTAGCATGTGACTTGAATGAATATCCTTCCCGTCTCTAATAACATTGAGAAATAGTGAAATTACAAGTCTAGCTCCAAAAATGAGGGTTTATAGGCAGGTAAAATAACCAAAACCAAAAAAAAAAAAAACAAAAAAAACCCAAACTGATTGCCCTTGAGTCAATTCCAACTCGTAGCAACCCTATAGAACAGAGTAGAACTGTCCCATAGGGTTTCCAAGGAGCAGCTGGTGGGTTCAAACTGCTGACCTTTTGATTAGCGGCCAAACGCTTAAGCAGTGTGTCACTAGGGCCCCAAGATAAACAAAAGTACTGTTATCTTTGAAAAGGACTCAGTGTAAAGGCTATATGACATTTGAGCATATAGTTTTCTAATTTTGTAGTTGTGACAGAAAAGAGGGATGAGTTTTGGGGTACACTGTTAACTTTTAAATACAAAATAGTTTTGAATAATATTTGTCACTTGTCAGTATTCAACTCTGAGAGCCAGTATGTAGGAGAGTTTCATGGACTAAAGAAGGTGACTTCAGAGCCATTGCATCCTTTCTAAACTAAATCATTTATCGTGTAACTCATTTGCTACTTATTTCCAGATGAGGCCTATGTTTGGTCCCATGGAATTATTGTAAGTAAGGTAATATTCTTTATCTCCTTTTTGTCTGCTTAGAATTGTTCTACACTGAAAGAGCTCATGTTCGAACACTGAAGGTTCTTGATCAAGTGTTCTATCAGCGAGTGTCCAGAGAAGGAATTTTGTCACCTTTAGAACTACGGAAAATTTTTTCAAACTTGGAAGATATTCTTCAACTTCATAGTAAGAGAAATTAACTCTGATCTTTGTCCCTAACATTTCCATAGAGAAGAGATTGTGTGTATAAATGTACCATAACAGTAAAATTTTGTAAATGTATCCATGTTAGTGCTCCTGAAATTATATGTGAGCATGTAGCGTAAAGAAATGATTGGATCTTTGAATATATCTTTTTTTCCCACAATCAGCGTTTTGGATATAGAGCTTAGGATCTAAAGTCAGTGCCTAAAGTAAAAAATATGAATAGTCAAAATTACCCTTGAAAATTTTCTTAAATTTCCTGTTAATTACAGTATATATGTTTTAAAAAAGATATATCCCATATAATAGTGTTGTTGTTGTTATTAGGTGCTGTTGAGTCAGTTCCGACTCATAGGAACCCTGTGTACAACAAGATGAAACACTGCCCGGTCCTGGGCCATGCTCACAATTGTTGTTATGCTTGAGCCCATTGTTGTAGCCACCATGTCAATCCTCGTTGAGGGTCTTCATCTTTTTCGTTGACCCTCTACTTTAATATATATGTATAAATGTGTTTTGTAAATAGTAATAGTATATAATCTCATGGTGGTATAATTTTCAGGAACTAAATTAGTTTATTGTTTTGTTGCTTGGAACACTTGAGTAAGTACACAAAAATTCAACCTTGCTGGCTTTCCCTGGTTATAGTCATCTTGGACTTTTGTAGACAGTTGTGTCAGTTCCTCTCTTTGTAAGTCACTATAACAATTAATTTTTCAATCTTTTTTTTGTCAAGGATGCCATCATCTCCCGCTTCCTGCCCACCAAATTGATGCCTTTTACTTCTTTGTGGGTGATCATTGATTTCACATTATGCATTGCCAAAGTCAGGCTTGATTACTTCCCTTACCTGTGGACAGATGCATTTTGGGAGGAACAGTAGACAGAATCATTCGCACTATTTAAATTTAAGTTCTTTTCAAGCGTGGTTATAGATAGGATCTCGATGTTTAATGCCTATTTGATGCAACTGCACTGTATGTAATGTGCTAATTCCGAAAGTGTTGTTTTATGCTTTGGCACCTGTTTTTCAGATAGCGCTCAGAGACCACTAGATGTATAAGCTTTGTGTCCAGATTTAAGAATATTGGAAGCAGCTATACTACCCTGAAAATCCTTTCTTTGAAAATTTAGCTTGTTGGTAGTAACTTAGCTTAAAATGAGTACATACTTAATTTTTTCTTTTTTCTTTTCCTTAGTTGGATTGAATGAGCAAATGAAAGCTGTTCGAAAGAGGAATGAGACTTCTGTTATTGATCAGATTGGGGAAGATTTGCTAAGCTGGGTAAGGAAATTGTCTTTTTTTAAAAATATATTCTTATTTAGCTATGCTGAGCAGGCAGACTGAGTGTTCTTCGTTGTTTGCTCGTCTGTGGGCGTGATACTTTTCACCTCCCTCTCCAGTTGGCAGGGTCAGTCACTCAGATATGGTACAGCAGGGCAGGTCTAGTTGAAGAGGAGTTGCTGGGATGGCTTGTTTGTGGCACTTACTACAGCCACCAGGGCGGGTCGATAATCAGTGCAGGGCAGGTTCCAGTAGGCCGTTCCTGTGCTGTTTGGTGGTGTGATGTTAAGCGCACGGTGCAGGTAGGCAGGATGGAGCGGGGAGGTTGTGATGTGTGGAGCTAAGATGGGTATGGGAGAGATGAGAGAGGAACAGGAGCCAAAAACATACAACCAAAAAGAGTGCTAGGGGAGCTTGCCGTCGGAGTGGAGAGATGAGAGACTATGAAATGGAGGAAAACAAAAAGAGGAAGAAGAAGAAAGAAAAAGAAAAGAATGAATAAATAAAAATTGGAAAGAAAAAAGAAAAGCAAAGCTCCCAGGGTCCCACCGGTGTGGCTACGAGGTCTGGGGAAGTTGTTCCCAGGTGTTGAAGTACAGCCTGGCTAGAATGCATAGAGGTATCACTCAGCACCAGTTATTCAGGGGACAGGAAGACAAGGAAGGTATAGAGAGATGAGAAACTGAGTAATAAGAAAGACAAAAAGGAAAAAAGAGGGAAAAGAAAACAAATTAAAAAAAAAGAACAAGAAAACCCCCCAAAAAAATGTGGTGGGGGGGGAAAACCACGAAAAAGAAATGCTCTCAGGGATCCCTGTGCGCATCTGCTCAAGCTGAGGGGTAGGTCCCGAGCCACGCAGCACTGCCCAGCCAGAATGGGCTCCCAACTCGAGAAAAGAAAAAGAAAACAAGCAAACAATTCAAAACAAACAAACAAACAAAAAAGCCCCGGGATCCCACCAGCGTGGCAGCACAGACCAGGAAGTAGTTCCACACTTGAGTGGAGCTCCACAGCCCCTCAGGAGGAAGCAAAGATGGCACACGGAGCTAGGTATTTGAGTGAAGGGAGAGGGAGGTGGTGAGAGGTAAGGAAGAAATCAAAAGAAGCGGAAAAAAGCAACACCAGTAGCCAACAAATGGCACTCAGGGTCAACCAGTGTGGGCAGGTGGAATCCAAGCAGCTGGTGCTTCCCAGCCAAGAGACTGTGGCCGTGGGAAGCGAGGAGGCCGAATGGGGGTGAAGAATGGTGGGGGGTGGGAAAGCGTATATTGCCCGTTACTGGTTGTTCTGTCTCCTGCTGGAAGCTCCGTGAAGCTGCTTTCTCATACCCCCTATTTGCCGGTCTCTGATAGGAGTCCAAGACGGCGGATCCGTGCTGCGTTAGCTGATACAGGACCTCTGCATGTTTGTCTCCTCACTCTCTGTTCTCTGTCAGTTTCTTATTCCATTTGGTGCTTGGCTGAGTTCTTTATCTCTTTATTTGATGTTTAGGATTTCAGGATTGCTGTTTTTTCTGTTTGGCTTAGTTTTTCAGATCTTTGCTGTGGAGGGACAACGTGGTGCTTCTGCCTAGAGCACCATGTTGCTGGAAGTCTCTAAAAATATTCTTGATGATTAGAATCAAGGTTAAGTAACTAACCTTTCCAAATATGCAAACTCATCCATTTTGCAGAGCTTATGTTAAGCTCTGTAAATGTCATACTTTTTTAATATAAAGGGTCTAGAGCATGTATTCAACTTTTTCATTGAATTAAAGATACTAGTCCTTTGTGTTTTAAAGAATATAGAGTAGTATAGCTCTTGATGAAAATGATTTAACTGATGCAGATTTTTAGTCTTTTGTTTCCCAAATCTAGAAATCTTAACATACAACATTAGACAATTGTATATAGCTCCAGAACTATCATCACAAGTAGCAGAAAAATGACAATTACTTAGTCTTATTCACAATGTAAGGAAAGAGTCCAGAGGATGTAGCAGCGGTTTGTCAGATTCTGTTTATCTTTCTGTCTGACTCTGTCAGTATATTCTCGACAGTACTGTATATACTTATGTGGCGAGCACTGTGCTGTGTGCTGGGCATATAGTGGTGATCAAAGCAGATCCTGGAGTTTACAATCAACAGGAAAACAGTCATTAGTTACTTCTAGTATGGCAAATGTTTACAAAAACGGGAAAGTGCAGGTTGTTACTGGAACATATAACAGGGAGACCTAAGCTAGAGCATATAGAGAACCTTTCTAGGGGAAAATGCATTTGACCGAGGCTTTTAAAGAAGGTAGTACAGTTGAGGCTGTGAATAATAATAAAGTTATGGTGTAGACCTCAAAGTCTTCCAACAGTTTGAACAGAACTGTTTAGATATGCCCACAGAAATCTGCTTCAGCATATAGACCACTTGAGGAAATGCCAAAAGACTTTGTTAATTCTATAGTTATAACTTTTCAAAACATTTAAGACAAAAAGTCGACTAAAACAGTCATCTTACTCCTGTCGTTGGTGGTGAGTTCATGGCCTAGAATCTGCTAATCCAATTAGTAGATCTCTCCTTAGCTATTTGACTCATACAACAGGAGCAAGGAATCGTAATCCAGTCTCATGGTGCAGTTATAGAACTTTCCAAAGCGTTTTCTAACCCCAGGCCCACTCTGGCACTGTAGTTGCTAAGATTTAACTTCCGCAAAAAGTTCACATTAATCTATGGCTACTCTGTGATAGTGTGGCTGTCGTTTTTCTTTTGCTTCTTGATCTCCGTATAACAGTGAAAGTTATAACTAGTTCTATTGGCTTGACAGTACACTGCTTAACTTGAAACAGAAAATTGAAAATTTTATAAAATTATCATTTCATTTTATAATGCAGCATAATGTAGCATCAATTTCCTTGTCAAACTTGATTAAAAAGTTGTAAGTCATGTGGACTTAAGATAGCATGTTTTGATTCTTAAGTAGTTTCATTCATCTTAAGTAGTTGTATCTTCTGTTAATAATGTTTAATACTGAGTATCAAGTGAGAGTCATCATTAATAAAGCACAGAAGTGCAGTTGGTCCTCTTACCACAGTTTGTTGGACTGCATAAATCTACATGGTAAAGTGGAGAAACCTGTGAGCAGAGAGGACAACAAATTTCTTTTAAAACACGCAGAAAGAAGTGCATTCTTGATCAATGTGATATGCATATAAAAAGTTAGGAAAAACAGAATGGACTGACCAATCTGGCTTGTAACTATTAGATACAAAGGATTAATTTAGAGAAAACCATTGATCAAAAATCCTAAAAGCAAAGATCATAAATAGGCCTTTAGATTTACCCCTGCTATTTTTACATATAGCTTTGATCCCTTCGGATCACCTTACATACACTTAAACTACTTGTAAAACTGCTTGAGGTTAGGAGTGTCATTTTCTTTTGTAAACCCAGCTGCCCTTAGTATTTGTATGGCTCTCTGATTGACTAACTTACCAATAATGCTGCTAGTTTTATCTTTAAACATGTTGAGTGTCATATTTATAGTAGAATTAAGAATATAACATTGGAGTAACCTAATATCACTTTGAGTGTGTCCTACTTGAAGAGAAAAATACTCTGAATTTATGTACAAACCCATTACAAAAGGATTTTTCACAACATACCTTCATGTACAAACTTTTGGAAAACTTCTTTGTAAACCATACAACAATTATTACAAATGTTGAGATGGTATTAAAAAAGAATTTATTCCCCCTATACTTTATGAGAGTACGTATTGTGAACAAAGCACTTACTAGTTGTTTTATCAGAGACTTTAAAATCATGGCATACACAAACTTAAAATTACAAATTTAAAAATATCAGTTAAAAGTAATACTTAGCAAGGGAGGTTCATAGACTCATGTCTCTCTCCCCTAAGCCAGCTCCAGCCTCTGTAGAGCTGAAGCAGCAGTAATTTAATTTTATTGCAACCCAGGAAAATTATGACCTGCCCTAGGTTTCATAGCAGGGCTTCTAACCAGTTCTAAATGGTTCAGTCATGGCTGAGGGAGACAAGGCAGGGCTTCAAACTAGTTTGAAGCGGTTCAGTCATGGCCAAGAGAAACAAGGGCAGCATTACATGTTGCATAGCAAACAAATCTCTTGTGTGTCAGCTTTTGACATGAGTAGGAAACAGACAGCAGTGCCCCACTCAAAGATGGTGGCCTACCATGCCACTTTGAATGTGTGTTGCTCTCCACAGTCCCACCAATAATCCAATCTCTCGCATCAGGCTCCTGAAAGTTTCCTGATGCAGGAGATTAGTTGTTGGCTCCTGAAAGGTTCCTGATGTGGGAGATTGGATTATTGGCAGGACTGTGGAGAGCAACACATGTTCAAAGTGGCTCGGTCAGCTACCATCTTTGAGTGGGGCACCGCTGCCTGTTTCCTACTTGGGTCAAAAGCCAACACAAAAGAGATTTGGTTGCTGTGCAATGCGTAGCTGCCCTTGTTTCTGTCAATCATGGCTGAACCGCTTCTTACTGGTTTGAAGCCCTGCCTTGTTTATATCGGCCATGACTGAACCGTTGAACTGGTTCGAACCTCTGTTTCATAGTGAGTAAAAAAGAAAGCTGGAATCCCGGGGATTTGCTTCCAGGAGCAGTCACAGAGTAATTTTTGTGCTGGTGTTAGGATCTAAGAAAATGAAAATTTAGTCTCGGTCTCCAGGTGTTTGGTATCTCGTAGTCCCCAGACATCAAACTTTCTATCTAATTTAGAAGCGTGTAGACTGAAAGGTAATAAGTTACGGTAGCCTAAGAGAAAGAAAACATTGGACAGTGATCAGGAAAGGCTTGGATGGGTCAAGGTCAGCCTTTTAAATGGATAAACATTGATATTCCCCATAGATCTATAGTTCTGTGTTTCTTGTCACTTGGGAATAGTTACTTGGTGTGTCATTTTGCCTGCCATTATATAAGCTCAGTGTCCCCTTCTCTATTGTTTTCTTTACATTCTTGGCACAGTTCAGCGGACCAGGAGAGGAGAAGTTGAAACATGCTGCTGCTACCTTTTGTAGTAACCAGCCTTTCGCCCTGGAAATGATCAAGTCTCGTCAGAAAAAGGATTCTCGATTCCAGACTTTTGTGCAAGTGAGTTTTGAGTGATTCTTGTAAGAAAAAAACCAATGCAAGTTTTTATCAATTATAGAAAAAACTAGGGAAGTTGTGACTAAATTGTTTACAAGAATTATATCACATGTTAACATTTTTTAAAGCCCTAAGTTATTCCTTAAATTACTGGAAGATATAAAGTTGATATTGGAATGGTGAATAAAAAGAATATAGGTCAGGATTAAAATACTGGTCATAGAATCCCACATTGCCATGGTGATATTACCAGGAAACGACTGATGCACACTATTAAAAGAATATTTGTCGAAACATTAAAACGGGCTAATATTAGGCCTGGGGAAGAATATAACAACAGTTGTATCTACTGGGGTATACAGGTAGTCCTCAACTTATGATGTGGTTCTGTTCTACGACTCTGTCATACAGCAGTCTTGACATAAATACTTCCTTTTTTTTTTTTTTTTAATTTTTGTTATTATTGCCTTTTATTATCAGTACCTTTATAAATCTGATCTTTGTCTTTGGGGTTAGAAGCATTACATAGAAACTTACAGATATGTCTTAATACATACAGATATACATAAAAAAATACACAAAGCATAAAAAAAAAAGACAGTCATAAGTGCAGTTCATTGTAACTTGAATACATTATAAGTCGGGGACTACCTGTATATTGGTATACATCAAGGGACGGCAAACTATGGCCTGTGGACCATATCCAGCCTGTTTCCTGTTTTTGTAAATAAAGTTCTATTGGAACACAATGTATTTGTTTCCTATTGCTTCATAACAACTTATCACAAACGTAGCAACTTAAAACAACACAAATTTATTACCTCACAATTTCTGTGGTTTAGGAGTCGGGGTATTGTTTAGCTGAGTCTGCTGTTTGGAGTCTCAACAGGCTGAAATCAAGGTGTTGGCTGGGGCTACAATTCTCGTCTGAAGCTCAGGGTCATCTTCTGTTTTTTTTTAATTTTTTTTTTCTTTTTATTGTTGTAGTTTAGATGAAGTTTATATTTCAAGTTAGTCTCCGATACAAAAATTTGTACACACATTGTTATGTGACCCTAATTGCTCTCCCCATACTGTGACAGCACACTCCTCCTTTCTACCCGATTCCCCATGTCCTCAAGGTCGTCTTCTAAGCTCACTGGTTGTTGGCAGAATCCATTTTCTTGCAGCTGTGTAACTGAAATGCCATCTTCTTGTAGTTGTTAGCCAGGACCATTCTTAGCTCCCAGAGAACACCTACACCTGTATGCCATGTAGTCCCCAGAGACAGTTCACAGCATGGATGTTTGCTTTTTTAAGAAATTTTTTCAGGTAAGGAGGGGTATATCTCTCTGACACTTTACTTTCTTTTAACTCTTTCATTACCCATGGTACATGTAGTGACCACTTACTTTTTCAGCCTCTGGGGTTTGTTGGGAAGCTACTTTCCCACTGACAGTGTGTGCTACTGCAAGGCGAGGGCCTTTAGGACCATTTGAAACCAAAGAAATGAGAGTGTGCCACAAATTACTGTTTTTACAGGGCAATGTATGAGATGATGCTGAATTGACTTTTTTTTTAGGTAAAATACAGAATTAAAAAATTTTTTAAGTGGTACATGTATGTACCTCTGGGCTTCACGGTTAGAATTAGGGGTACACATATATGTACCATTGTACTCTAAGGGTAGGGTTGTGAGAGGGGGCAAGAAAAAGGTATGGGAGGGGGGCAAGAAAAAAGGTCTATACTATCTGCCAAAAATTCAGACACACTCAGTGATTCAGCATCTTTCCATTAATTAAAACACAAGGTGTCAACAAAAAATTCAAAGCAGAAAATAATTTGGTACTGAAAGGGTTAAAGGCTCCTCTGATTAGGCCAGGCCCACCCAAAACAATGTCCATTTTGATTAACTCAGAGTCAACTGATTAGTAACCTCATCATGGGGGTGATATCCCATCATATTCCCAGGTTACACTAATATTCAAGGGGAGTTCCACCAATACTACCAGAGGGTGGTAATCTTGGAAGCCATCTTAGAATTCTGCCTACTATGCATAGCCATGCCCATTCATTTACATATTGTCTCTTGCTGTATTTGTGCTGTAACAGCAGAGCTAAGTCATTGTGACAGATCGTATGGCCTTCCAAGTCTAAATTATTTATTCTCAGGCCCTTTATGAAAAACCTTGCAGACCCCTGGTGTAGATGAGCTGGCAAATGCAAACTGGTAATTCATTATGCCTACTAGGAAAGGCAGAGAACAAATTAGCTGATTAATTTTTGGTTAGGAATGCCAGTCAGAGAAAATGTAACGAGATTTTCTGAATAGGTGAGGATGAAACTCTTCCGTCACACAAGAGCAGTTCTTAGAATTGATTATGGGTGCTGTCATTCCTGGTTTAAAAAGAAAACAAAGAAGTCTTTGGTTTGGTAATAAAACCCCGTTTCCCTGTTATGTGATTGAAGGAGAAAGCAGAAGTATAGCATGGTGAGGAGATGTCTTGTCCTTTTTTAAATCTTGATTTAATAATCAAAACTATGATGGTATAGACATATATACGGAATACATGGTACATGTCAGGTGATTATAGTCCTAATAAGAATTAGGATTATAACAATACTTATGTCACTTTAATTTTAGGATGCTGAGAGTAATCCACTGTGTCGTCGTCTGCAACTGAAGGATATCATTCCCACCCAAATGCAGAGGCTTACTAAGTACCCTCTTTTATTGGATAATATTGCCAAATATACAGGTACAGCATTCTCACTGAAATAAAAAAGCTTAGGAACAAAAATAACATGTCCTGCTAAATAATCTCTTGAAGCCATCCAGGATGGATTTCCAAATAGTATGGCAAGATTTTCTAACAAGATACAATCTAGTCTCCTTCAGGCTGTTTGATTTAATGTGCTCCATTAGTAGCTCTAGTAAATGGTTTGACAAACCATGGCTTGTGGGTCAAATATGGTTCACCACTTATTTTCGTAAATAAAGTTTTATTGGAACACAGCCGTGGTCATTTGTTTTTACATGTTGTCAGTGACTGATTTTGCACTACAACAGCAGAGTTGAGTAGCTGCAACAACTGTATGGCTTGCTAAGTATAAAATATTTATTATCTGGCTCTTTACAGAAAAAAAATTGTCAACCCTGTTTTAGCAGATACCATATTTGATTTGAAGAGAGCATACACTGGGTTGAAGAGATGTTTTGTGTCTATATATGTACTTTTATTAAGCTGGACCAATGTAGGCTCTAGAGAGGAAGCATGATTAGAGTGCTTTATAATTCCACCACTCCTGTTTTGAAATGTGAAGTGAATCTGAGTCTCTCAGTTGGTCTTTGGGCTCTTATACCTAGGTCTCATTAATAATTCTGTGCAACCAAACTCCTGTTTTCTTCTGTCTGAGCATATTGAATGCATAATTGGAAAATTTTAAATTATGGTACCTTATAACAAAAGTGGTTTATACTTATATAAATTAATTTTTATACTTGAATATATCTGTTCAGTGTAGTTGGACTGTTATTGGGAGGATTATAATTTTGAATATTCTGATTTTGGTATTGTTTACATTGTAGACATCAACACATTTTGGTCAGTTTCATTTCCTTTTAATGATACAAATGCCGTAATCTTTTTTTTTTCTTTTAAACATAATATCAAATTTAAAGAAACTTTTTTGGGGTTATTTTGAATTGTATTGTCATTCAAAAAATATTGCTTAGCAGTTCCACTGCACATAATCTTGGAGGCTGTGTACTGTGTATCTCGAGGGAGGAGAGGGTCCCATTTGTTACAGCTTATGATGTGAGTGGGACCCACCCCCCAGAGTTGTATAGCATAGTGTCCTTGATACTTGGTATAAAACATCACGTCTTGGATTCTGTACTATGATTTTTTTTTTTAAGATTAGTGTTTATGTTTAAAGTACAGTCATAAGAAGTCTTACCTCCCCAAAGACTATCTGAATTGAGATTCTGCGATAGATGTTAGCTTGGTATAAAAATATTCAAGATCTTAGTGTGTTCTTATCACTGTTGAATAAAATGAAGTTATATATATATATGTGTATGTGTGTGTGTGTCTGAATATATATATATATATTTAAACTCTTTCCTAATCTCCTCCATTTTACATTTTGGATTTCCCCTGAATATTCAGAATGGCCAGCAGAAAGAGAAAAGGTGAAGAAAGCTGCAGATCACTGTCGTCAGATCTTAAATTATGTAAATCAGGCTGTCAAGGAGGCAGAAAACAAGCAGGTAAGAAGGGAAAAGCAAGAAAATACAGGGTGATGTCGTGAGAATATTAAATTTAGCATTAGCTTGAATCTGTAAAATAATAATTAAAACTATCACTGCATAATTGAGGGGCAAGACATTTGTTAACTGTTCATATGAGTATAGATCATTTTGTGATAGAACATTAGAATTGTGTTTGACTTTTTTGAGCATCTCTAGTTGCTTGTTTGCATTAAATAGAAAAGCATTAAATAGATTATAGGGCAAGTTTTCTCATCTCAGCTGTGATAGCTGCTATGAAGGAGAATTTCAGGATGCTGTGAGTGTACAAGAGACACTATTGGTCCAATGGTAGAATTCTCACCTCCCATGTGGGAGACCTGGATTTGATTCCTGCTCAGTGTACCTCATGTGCGGCTGTCTTAGTCATCTAGTGCTGCTATAACAGAAATACCACCAGTGGATGGCTTTAACAAAGAGAAATTTATATCCTCACAGTAAAGTACACTAAAAGTCCAAATTCAGGGCGTCAGCCCCAGGGGAAGGCTTTCTCTCTCTGTCAGCCTTCTCATCAGTCTTCCCCTGGACTAGGAGTGTCTCCACACAGGGACCCTGGGTCCAAAGGACGTGCTGTGCTCCCGGCACTGCTTTCTTGGTGGTATGAGGTCCCCCTGTCTCTCTGCTCGCTTCTCTCTTTTATGTCTCAAGAGATTGCCTCAAGACACAACCCAATCTTGTAGATTGAGTCCTGCCTCACTAACACAACTGCCACCCATCCTCCCTCATTAACATCATAGAGGTAGGATTTACAACATATAGGAAAATCACACAATACCAGGAATCATAGCTCAGCCAAACTGATACACACATTTTTTGGGGAACATAATTCAATCCATGACAGTGGCCACCACCCATTCATCAGTGGAGGCTTGCATGTTGCTATGATGCTGAACAGGTTTCAGCGGAGCTTCCAGGTGAAGACAGATTAGGAAGAAAGGCCTGGTGGTCTACTTCTGAAAAGCAGCCATTGAAAACCCCATGGATCATAACAGTTCAGTCTGCAACTGGTCATGGAGATGGCTAGGACTGGGCAGTGTTTCGTTCCATTGTGCCTGGAAGTCACCATGAGTCGGGTTCCAATTCAACGGCAGCTAACAACAATGAGTGTGTAACTAGCCAGGCCTAGCCTCGCATGGGAATGTTGGGTGCTGGCTATCAGAGAAAGCTTCCTTGAGGAATTGATATTTGAACCAAGCTCTGAAGAATGAGTGGAAATGAACCCAAAGAATGTGGAAGAGAACAACCTTTCAGGCATAGGGAATGGCATGTACAGAAGTTCTGAGGTAAAAGCAAGCATGGTCTGTTTGAGGAATTAAAAAGTTAGTGTGGATCATGCCCAAAGCAGAAGTCAGAGTGGTATGAAATGAGGTCAAGTAGGCCGGGGCTAAATCATACAAGGTCATGTAGACCATGTCGAAGATTTTTATTTTTATTCATAAGAGCAATAAGAATTCATTGTAGACGTTTAAGAAGGGGGTGGCATGTTGAGATTTTCACTTTGAAAGTATCACTCATACTACTCTATGGAGAGTGGGCTGAAGGGGCAAGAGAGTGGGTGAAAAGGGCTCAGTGAAGAGTCTGTTGCAGCAGTCAAGGCCAGAGATGATGGTAACTTGGAGAAGTGCAAGAATTGGACAAGTATATTGATGGTAAAATTGACAGGACTTGGTGACTGAGTTAGGGTAGGATTTGAAGAAGAGGTAAAGTCAAGAATAAATCCCAGGTGTCTGGCTTGTACATGTAAATGAACACAATGGGAGAGTGGAGAATCCCCAGATTTGTGGGGAAGATGATCAGTTTAGGGTATCAGGTGGATGGAGATCAATGGGGAGCAATTGACTATATAGGTCTAGCTCTAAGGAGACTGTGCTGAAGATAAACATTTAAGAATCCGACCATAGAGAAGCTAATTGAATCTGTGGACATGGATGTAATTTCTTTGGAACTGAGTATGATGACTTTGTTGGTGAGGCTGTAGGAAAACAGGTACTTTCAAATCTGTCATTTGTAGTGCAAAAGATAATCCCAGAGGGCAATTTGGCAATATTTATATAAATTTTAAAAATGCACATAACCATATGTCTACCTTTGACTTGGAAATTCTGCTTTAGTGATTTACCCAAGAGTAATGAAGGTATATGTCCACCAAGAAAACTTGTATGAGAATGTTTATAACAGCTTTATTCATAAGAGTCAAAAACTAGAAACAGACCAAGAGTTCATCAACAGGAGAATGGATAAACCAACTATGGTATAGTCATACAATAAGATACTACTACCATCAATAAAAAAGGACGAACTACTGATATATACAGCATGGATTAATCTCACAAATATTATGCTGAGCGAAAGAAACCAGACACAACAAAAGAGTACATACAATGATTCCATTTATTAGAACTTTTAGAACAGACTTAAACAAATCTATGGTTGAAAAACCTGAGAAAAGTAGTTGCCACTGGGGATGTAGTGGGTGGGGATTGACTGGGAAGAAGTATGATGGAACTTTTTGAGATGATGGTAGTGTGTGTGTGTGTATGTGTTTTAGGTGAAAATTTACACAGCAAATTAGGTTCCCATTTAACAATTTTTATACATATTGTTCCGTGACATTGGTTACATTTTTCACAGTGTGTCAGCATTCTCATTATTTCCATTCTGTTTGTTCTGTTTCCATTAATCTAGCTTCCCTGCCCCTCCTTACCTTCTCATCTTTGTTTTAGGGTAAACGTCGACCGTTTGGTCTCACATAGTTGATTATTTAAAGGAACACAGTACTCATGGGTGATATTGTTTAGTTTATAAGCCAGTGTATTACTTGGATGAAAGGTGACTTCCAGGAGTGGCTTTAGTTCCAAGTACAAAGGGTGTATTAGGACAATAGTCTCGGGATTCTTCTAGTCTCTATCCATCTTGTAAGTCTGGCCTTTATTAGGAATTTGAGTTTTATTCTACATTTTTCTCCCATTGTCTCTGAGATCTTCTATTGTGTCCCTGGTCACAATAATCAGTAGTGGTAGCTGGACACCATCTAGTTCTTCTGGTCTGAGGTTAGATGAGGACATGGTGGTAATATATTTTATATTTTGATAGGAGTTTGCCTTGCACAGATGGATGCATTTGTCTGAACTTACAGAAAGGTACACTTAAGATGTATGCAGTTCATTGCATATAAATTTTACTTAAAAACAAACTATGAGCAAATATTGAATTCTTGTTAGTGATACGCATGCTGAAATGTTTAGGAGTGAAGGTGTTTATATCTGCACTTTATTTTGAAATGCATCAAAAAAATAAAATGGACCAGAAGAACTAGAAGGTACCCGGCTACCACCAGTGACCACCCTGACAGGGAACACAACAGAGTCCCTGATGGAGCAGGAGAAAAGTAGGGTGCAGAACTCAAATTCTAGTAAAAAGACCACACTTAATGGTCTGACTGAGACTGGAGGAACCCCAGAAAGCATGGCCCCTGGACTCTGTCAGCCCAGAACTAAAATAATTCCCAAGGCCAACTCCTCAGACAAAGATTTGACTGGACTGTGGGGACATAAAATGATACTCGTGAAGAGTGTGCTTCTTAGCTCAAGTAGATACATGAGACTAAATGGGCAGCTTCCTTCTGGAGGTGAGATGAGAAGGCAGAGAGGGTTAGGAGCAGGTTGAATGGACACGGGAAATCAGGGTGGAAAGGAGGAGTGTGCTGTCACAGTATAGGGAGAGCAATTAGGGTCATATAACAATGTGTATATAAATTTTTGTATGAGAGACTAACTTGAATTGTAAACTTTCACTTAAAGTACAACAATAAAAAATAAATCTATGCCCTTCAAAAAAAAAAAATAAGATGGATTGATGAATAGAGGGATGAATAAATGGATAGATAATTGATAAAACAAATACCGTAAAATGTTAATTGTGGAATATAGATGGTGGGCATATTGGTATTCATATTCTCATTCACATTCAAATTTTTCTGTATGTTTGGAAATTTTTATGATGTTGGAAAAAAGTGCACATACTATACTCTTTAATCCAACAGTTCTTCTTCTAGGAATTTATCATGCAGACATTTTCTACACACTTGTGTAAAGGCATATTTGAGACCACTTTATTGTAGCATTGCCTGTTATAGTAGAAGATTGGAAGTAACCTAAATGTCCATCAGTAAAGTCTAGTTAAGTAAATTAGAGTTCATTCACAGAGTTGAGTATCATGCAGCCATTAAATTAATGAGACGGCTCTGTATGTTCCACTAACATAGAATAATCTCTAAGATATATTAATAAGTGATCTAAACACACACAGGAATATGTATATGAATATATTATGCTACCATTTTTTTTAAAGGATATATGGATATATATACATGCACGCACAGAGACAAGCATATTTTTATACTCACAGATACTCTGTTAGCCTTCTTGAAGGCTACTCAAGAAATGGGTATTAGAGATTGCCTCTTTACAGGAAATTGGAGGGGGGCAAGAGGATAGGGCTGGAGGAAGACTTACTGTGTATCGTGTGCCTTATTTTACCTTCTAAATTTTGTACCATGTACATGATTTGCATGTTCAAAAAATAAATATAAGCTAGTTACAGGGCAATGTGTTTGAAAAAAAGATTGAGAAAGAACAACCATAGAGGTGGGGGGCAAAACCAGGAGAGTGCAGTATCCCCAAAGCCAAGGGCAGAGAGTGGTTTGTTTTTTTAAATTTATTTTGTTGTTATTGTTGAGAATATGCAGAGCAAGACATACACCAGTTCAACAGTTCAGAGAGTGTTTTAAGAAAGAATGAGTTGTCCTGTCTAATGTTGCAAAGAGCTCAGTAAAATGCAAATTAAAAATGTCCATTTTATTTGGGAGTAGGGAGGTCATTGATGATCAAAGTAGTAACCTGGACTTCAACCTGTCTAATTTTCAGCGCTTAGAAGATTATCAACGTCGTCTTGATACCTCCAGTCTGAAGCTGTCAGAGTACCCAAATGTTGAAGAGCTCAGGGTGAGAGATGGTCTAATCATAATTTAAAAAAAAACATAAAATTTACTAAAGACCTGACAGATAATTAAAACATCTCAGTGGGAACACATATTACCTGAAGGAGTTCTTGTTCGTTGCCTTTATTTATGGTTTTATTCTTCCTTTTAAATCTCTGATTATGTAAGGATCACTTTAGTCTTTAATTAGAGAAATATTGTGTGTGAAACTAACTTTATGAGACAGGAATTGGCAGGAGACTAAGGAACGTTAGTTATTATTAAATTTAATTTTATTGTGTTCTATAGTTTGAATAAGAGTAGTAATGTTTACTGTGGGAACTTTCCAGATACTTGAGTAAAGCAAGATAACTTATTTTTCCATGAAGCTCTTCAAAAGCATTAAAGCTCAGACTATCATAGGAATGATAGTAAAATATGTACTAATTGCTACTTCTAGTATTAAGTAACTTTTTAGGATTTTAAATCTGTTTTGTAGTATTTTACTAGGTAGTTGTTTTGGCAGATCTATTTGGTGACTGTTTAAACAGACTTTCATGTCATATATAACAGCTTATCAGGAAGTATGCTAGTGTTCTTCGCCCTTTAACTTCCAGAGAATGACATTTTTCTACAGCTGCTGATACTAGAAGATGATTCTGTTACTAATGAACTATTAATATTTAGAGGAAGCCTGAGTATTTCCTGGACTTTTCATGATGAATGCTGTGTTTCCTAGGACTTCTTTGGAACTAGGGCCTTGGAACTCAGAGGTCTCTGGCAGACAAGCGTACATATTATCCCCATCCACTTATTCGCAGAAAAAATTAAAGGATGAGTTGAGAATCTAGTGGCTGAATGTTTGTAACTTCATAAGATCTTATCTCCTTAGAGTGAGATTTGGAAGGCAGTACTGCTGAATATTTTTCTGCAAGACATTGTTGCCTTTCTAGAAAATTTTATGCAGATTACTTTAACTTAGTCTTTATTCTGTCTTCAAAATTGACAACAATAATGATAGTGAATGTAAGTGGTATCGTTTATATTAAGAATTTTTTGAAAAGAGAGACTAAATGATACAGAATATCATCTCATTGAATGCTTGGAAATAATTTGTATGCAATTCTCTTCATTTTCACAGAATTTGGATTTAACAAAAAGGAAGATGATTCATGAAGGGCCGTTGGTTTGGAAGGTGAATAGAGATAAAACTATTGGTAGGTCTGACATTATCTGACGATTTGGAGAAGTGAAGAAGGAAAAGAATAGGAAAGTTTTCTTATGCCAAAGGGGAGACCAGATAATTGTTCACAATTTCCAGTTAGCATGCTACTTTGTGTTAATTTGTGCACTTATAGATCTGCTTAGGTCTGAGGTGTGTTGAATATTCAGCAGAAGACTTTATGATTCTGTGCTGTTTCTTTCCATCATTCTTGTATTCTAATGAGTTTTTAGTAAGTTTTCTTTAGACTAGTACATCTCAAACTATCTGTGGTAAAGAACCTTTTTTTTAAATTTCAAATCTGTCACAGACCAACACTTCTGTGAACTACAATAAAAATAAATTATTAAAAAATGAAATAAAGGCAATATACAAGTCAGTTTTTACATTTAAGACATAAAATGTCTGTCAAGTTGTTACGAAGTTTAGAAAACACATCTTAATTTCTGTACTTATCACCTTCCCTGCTTTTATTTCTAGATCTATACACACTGCTGCTGGAAGACATTCTTGTGCTATTACAAAAGCAGGATGATAGACTGGTGCTGAGGTGTCATAGTAAGATTCTGGCATCTACAGCTGATAGCAAACACACGTTTAGCCCTGTCATTAAGTTGAATACAGTGTTGGTTCGACAAGTGGCAACAGGCAAGTATGTCCACTGAGCAACACTAATCTCCAGATTCATTGTGAAGTTGCATAAGGTAGCGTTTACGTAGCACAACGGCGTAGAGTTTTGCTCACGTTATATTCTTAGGCAAGTTAAATTAATTTTATTTATGCTTAGAAAGTGAATTTTAAGTAAGAGTTTATACCCCCAAATTATTTGGGGTGCCTAGATTCTCTGACTGATTTTCTGCATTCAAAACATTTTATGTAGTTTGCTTTATGCAGATTACTTTGGTCTTTATTCCGTGTCAAATCATTGATAGATACCGATAAAGATAATGAATCGAGGGTAATCTAATCACCATGTCTAATATATAGGCTTTTTGTATTAAGTAATTTTTTAGGATTTTAAGTTTTTCTTCTGTTCACCAGGTAGTTGTTTTGACAGATTTGTTTGGTGGCAGTTTAGAATAGACTTTTATGTATGTAACAAGTAATCCCAATGAAAAAGCTTTCATTAGAGTGGTATGTTTTTTGATTTGGTAAAAATAAAGCAAAAACTGAAGAGGTGAGTGTGGTTTGTATTTTTGAAATCAGTTTAAGTTGGCATGTTATGTTTTAACTGTACTAAAAATGAAATCTCTGAAAACTTGTTAGTTCTGTGATGGCAAGATAAATTTATAACTTCTTTTATCCAACACCCATTGAATATTATTAACAGCCTACCAAAAGGGCAGTTGAAAATAAACAAATAACTTTTTGTTTATTGCAATAATTTAGATATATTGACATCTTCCTGTTTCTAATAAATGGCTGTGTGATCACTGTTACTTTTTGTAATCCTTGTTTTACTGAAGTAGCATATGTACAGTATAATATACAGTAAGTTGCACAGACTTTTTTTACAAAGTGAATTCATGTTTACAAAGTGAACATACGTAACCTTTATTTAGATTAAGATACAGAATATTACCAAGTCCCTAGAAACCTCCCTTATGTCCTCTGTAGGTCATAGTGTTAGAATAAGTTTTGTCTTTTTTTTTCCTTTCCCCAGATAACAAAGCTTTATTCGTCATTTCCATGTCAGACAATGGAGCCCAAATTTATGAACTGGTGGCTCAGACAGTTTCTGAAAAGACTGTGTAAGTATTAGATTTAGCTGCCTTACTCTAACTAATATTCTTCATTATCCTGGGGTATAATATTCTACAAATTTAACGTTGTTTAATAGGACTTTGAAATCCAAAAACTATAGTGGAAACCAAGCACTTCCTCTGTATCCTTTTAGAGATGTTCTTTTAGGAATGTGTTCCTCTTTAGATTGATGTCTTTTATTTTGATTCTATTTTATTGAAAGTATCCTTTCTGAAGAAAAAATTCTCGGAAGTGTCAAGTGAAATTTTTTAATAGGTAGTATATCCAAAATGTACTACCCATTAAAAAAAAAATAATAAAAGGGTAGTATATCCAAAATGGAGCCCTGGTGGCACAGTGATTAAGAGCTCGGTTGCTAACCAAAAGGTCAGCAGTTCGAATCCACCAGCAGCTCCTTGGAAAACCTATGGGGAGTTCTCCTCTGTCTTATAGGATTGCTATGAGTTGAAATCAGCTTGACAGCAGTGGGTTTATATCCAAAATGATGTTTGGCTTTTCTTTAAGGTATAGTTTTGTTAGGTGTTGTGTTTTTGTTTTGTTTTTATTTTTGCTTTCTGAGTATATTTAAGGGTGTTTCTTTTTCCTTCCCCTCTTGTATTTTGGGTTCTTTTCACACTTTCTGCAGCTGGCAGGACCTAATCTGTCGGATGGCTGCATCAGTGAAAGAGCAATCCACAAAGCCAATTCCATTACCAGAGTCATCATCTTGCGAGTGAGTGTCCCCTTTGCGTTTTAGTAGGGCTTATTTTGTATTTTGGAGCCCTGGTGGTGCAGTAGTTAAGAGCTCGCCTGCTAATCCAAACGTCAGCAGTTAGAATCCACCAGCCGCTCCTTGGAAACCCTACGGGGCAGTTGGTTCTGCTCTGTCCTATAGGGTTGTTAGGAGTTGGAATCAACTCGACGGCAATGGGTTTGGTTTTGGTGTGGTTACTTTGTATTTTTGGTCAGGAAAGGAATAGATAATTCTTAATTTTGTTACAATGATGTTTAAGTACCTCATGAAGCTGAAAGATTGTTTTCTTTGTTCCACAGAGGAGACAATGATGAGGAAGAACCTTCAAAATTAAAAGGGGAACATCGTGGCATTTCTGTCACTGGCCTGCAGAGTCCAGGTAAACTCTTCCTTTAGAGCCTGTCTTTTAAAATGCTAAGAAACCTTAAAACTCTTTTGGTTTACGCAGATTCTGGCATCAGCTATTCAGTTTTTCAAACTTTGCTATGAGCCTTCTGTCTGCCCTGAGTGCTATGTGTTTTACTTAACAGACTACCTCTGTAGCTCATGTGGTTATTTTTTTCCAAGTATTTCCTAGAGGCTTCATGTTAAAAGTAAAAGTTTTGTTAAAATATACTCTACCTTTTCTCCATTGAACAGACAGAGATTTGGGATTAGAGTCTCCCTTAATGTCATCAAAACCTCAGGCTCGTTCACTGGTTACCTCTGGGAAATCGGAGGTCGATGATTTCTTTGTGACTGATAGACCATTTGCAAAGGAGCAGCATGCAGATGGGACTCTAAAGGAAGTTGGAGTAAATTATCAAATCATAGTCCCAGATCTGCATTTTCCTGTCTCAGAAGAACGGTGGGCATTGGATGCACTAAGGAATTGTAAGTTTTATTCAGTTTATTACTGATACTTATTAAGTACTAAGTTGTATAATGTATTTTCCAGGCATTTAGGGAGAATCCAAAGAAGTATAAGCTTTGATTTTTCCCTTTAAGAAATTTAGTTTGGTTGGGAAGATGATAGAAACACCGCCCCACCCTCCTTTTTTTAATAAATAAATGCTCAAACGATACAGATATGTCAAAATTGACCTGTGTTGGGGTGACTATAGAAGGGGGAGGCATCAGCAAGCAAGGGAGATGTGATTATTGCTTTGAAGAATGGGTACGATTCAGATAAGTATGTAGAAGAATAAAAGACATTTAGACAGGAATAATGGTAGGCCCAAAGCACAGAGGCAGAAAACTCTGAGAGTTTTCAGAAAGTAGTGAGTAGACTGGAGCTCTGGTGACACAGTAGTTAAGAGCTCAGCTGCTAACCAAAGGTTGGTGGTTCAAATCCACCAGCACCCCTCCCCTTGGAAACCCTATGGGGCAGTTCTACTCTGTCCTGTAGGGTCGCTATGGGTCGGAATCTACTGATTGGCAATGGATTTTAGCGAGTAGACCAGTTGGGCTGAGGTAGAATGTATAAGTTAAAGGAATCATGTGAGATAAGGTTGGAAAAATAGATGATGTGCTGTTAAGCTCAGCTGTTGTGAACCTTGAATAACAGATTGAATCCTCCGTATTTTAGGGATGACACATCACAGTGTTTCAAGGCCTTTTTCAAACTATGCATATTCTAATTTTCTGGCTGAGATTCTAGTATCCTTCACTGTGCTGGTCCCATTCCCCCCGCCCCCCCGACGCACGCACGCACGCACGCATGCACACACACGAGAGTGTATGGCCCTTGCCGCTCCTTGGCTGCCCTGTCCCTTCACAGCTTGGTTGAGAATCACTAATAGGGTATGCCTGTGGTACAGATGGAAGTGTATGACATCTTTCAGGTGTACTGAGGTGGGAAAAGTTGTGAACGATTCCTCTAGCTGTAGAGTACCGTTCGAAATTTTTAAGCTAGGGCATGGCTGATGAAAACAGATTAAGCTGAGAGAGCTACATAAGGATTAGAATGGAAAGAAGTTTTAGGAGTGGGAGGCGCAGTTACTAAGTAAGCTATTGTAGGTAGGTAGTAGTCTGGGCTTGAGGCTAAAAGGTTTTGGACTAGAGTGGTATTAGAAGGAATAAAAATAAAGTGACGGTATCAACAAATACTTATAAGAATTGACTTGTTTGGATGTGAGGGCAAAGGAAAGGGAATATTCAGAGATATTTTCAGTATTCTTGTGAGAAATAAGAGGGAGAAAGGGACTCCCCCTTCCCTCACCCCCACCTCAGACACGCTTTATTTTTTTGTTTGGCAGCGATTATGAGCCCAGACTTAAAACATGTTGAGATTAAGATAATGAATGACAAGGCATTTAAGAGAATGTGACCAGCAAGAAGTTAGAGTTCTAGGCTTGGAACTCTGGAGAGAGATTAGGGAAGAGATGGGTTTGAGTGTCAAAGCCGTAAGACTTCATAGAAGCTCTGAGGAGGTGAATGTAGAGCAGAAAGGTGGAGGGCCAAAGACTGCCTACATAGAAACTGTTTACCTAAAGAATGCAGGAAGTAGAAATTAAGCCAGTGATGAAAATAGGGAATTGGTCAAGTTATTCAGAACCTAATTTACTCTAAATTCTCTTAAATTGACATTGTCTTAATGATGTCTGATGGTTTGATTAACATTGTCTGAGTAATTTTATCATCATGTGAGTGACCTTGTTGCATCACTTTGTCCATTCAAGATTAAATTGGTTCTTATTTCAACAAACTCAAGTAGCTGTACCACTAGTAAGGTAATTTTTAAGACACTAATAAATATTTACTTTTTCTTTGAAATTACACATACTACCAAATCGTTGGAGTTAAATTTTATTATGAGGCACTTTCATTTCCTTCTTCACTATTTAGGGGGATTCTTTGGGTTATTATAAATGATAATGTAAATGTTCTGTGTATCTAAGAAAATTAGAAAAAAAACAATGCCTATGTATAGAGTGTCTGCTTGTGGAAAAGCAGAACTTAGAGCGTTTTTTTTTTTCTGTCTTACCAAGCCTTTCAACATCCTTAAGAAGTGCCTTTGGGGTATTATTCCATTTATATGGTACAAAAAATAGAGACATGGTTGTTGAGGAGTTCTACAACTATGCTTAGATCTTTTCCAGTCTAGTTTAATGTTAAATCTTCTCTAGAAAAAGGTGCTTTATTTCATTTTTCAAAACAAAATGATGATTGTATGAAATGAATATTTTATTAAAAAGGTACTTACTTTTTGAGGTATAAACTGACAATTCAGCTAATTTAATTCTGATAGTCTGAAATTATAGTAATGAATGTGCTTTTTTTTTTCCTTCCCAAATCTTTCAGTGGGTTTGTTGAAGCAGTTGCTGGTACAACAGCTAGGTTTGACTGAGAGGAGCACTCAGGAAGACTGGCAACATTTCCCAAGATCTAGGACAGCCTCTCAGGGGGTGCAGGCAGATGGTGGAATCCAGAACTCTGAAAATAGTAAAGCCTATCATCCTGGTGAAGGACAGATGCCCTTTAGAACTGGAGCTGGTGACACTTCCGCTTGTTGCAGTCCAAGGACTTCAACTGAATCTTCTGCTCCACCAGATTCAGTGGTACTGGCATCCCAAGATAGCCAGGCAAGTAACATTGTAGTCATGGACCATGTGGATATGACCCCAGAGATGCCTACCACAGAGCCCGAAGGGGGTCTTGATGAGAGTGGAGAGCACTTTTTTGATGCCCATGAAGCACATAGTGATGATAATCCATCAGAAGGCAATGGAGCCATTAAAAAGGAAGAAAAAGATGTTAATTTACACATCTCAGGCAAGTTTTCTCCCCCCATTTAAACCTTAATTTTGTTTGTTATCAGATGCCCTGTGTGCTGAAATGGATGTTGTTTTCGTATTCTAGCATTACTCTGTGTGTGTGTGTGTGTGTGTGTGTGTAGTATTTATTTATTCTTTCATTCCTCAAACATTTATTGAATCTATTCTATGTCAGACCCATTCTAGGTGCTAGGAAGTACAGCAGTGAATAAAACACAGAAAAATCCCTATTCTCATGAAGCTCAGATACTAGTAGGGGAAAGAGTAAAGGTGAATAAGTAAACAAATAAATAGATGTCCAATGGTGAGAAGTATTAAGAAGAAAAATGAGTCAGACTAGTGGGACAGAGAGTAATGAGGGTAGGGAGGTACTGTTTCAGGCAGAGTGATCAGGGAGGGAGCCTCTGATGAGGTGACGTTTGAGCAGACACCTGGGTGAAGTAAGGGAACACGGCATGTGGACACCTGGCAGCAGAGTGTTTCAGCAGAGAGAAGAAGGTGCAAAGGCTGTGCAGCAAGAGCAAGCTCCTTGTGGTTATGGAATAGCAAGGATGTCATGTGGCTGGAGGAAGAGGGAAAATGGTCGGAGATGAGACAAGAGGGAGTGGTGGCAAGATCATGTAGGGGCTTTGTAGTTTTCAGCTTTTAACTTTTAAAATACTAACTAGTAAATTATTCATGAATTGCCTTGAAATTTTGCCAAATGTAGTTTTAATCTGAAATGATAAAATTTATTTAAAACTAAACTTGGGAATTATGGAATTAATGGCATTTTCCCAGTTAATAACTTTCTAAAGTTGTCAGCAAATTATTTTTGTTAGGTGCCATCGAGTTGGTTCCAACTCATAGTGACCCTATGTACAACAGAATGAAACACTTCCCAGTCCTGGACCAGCCTCACAATCATTGCTATGCTTGAGCCCATTGTTGTAGCAACTATGTCAGTCCATCTTGTTGAGGGTCTTCCTCTCTTTTGCTGACCCTCTACTTTACCAAGCATGATGTCCTTCTCCAGGGACTGGTCCCTCCTGATAACATGTCCAAAGTACACCATCCTTGCTTCTAAGCTTTCTGGCTGTACTTCTTCTAAGACAGATCTGTTCATTCTTCTGGCAGTCCATGGTATAGTCAACATTCTTCACCATCACCATAATTCAAAGGCATCAATTCTTTGATCTTCCTGATTAATTGTCCAGTTTTCACACTCATATGAGGCAATTGGAAACACCATGTCTTGTGTCAGGTGCACCTTAGTCCTCAAAGTGACATCTTTGCTTTTTAACACTTTCTAGAGGTCTTTTGCAGCAGATTTGCCCAATGTAATGCATCGTTTGATTTCTTGACTGCTGCTTCCATGGGCGTTGATTGTGGATCCAAGTAAAATGAAATCCTTGACAACATCCATCTTTTTTCCATTTATCATGATGTTGCTTATTGGTCCAGCAAATTACCCTATCTCTGTTCTCTGATTTGATGATGACAGTACTAATGTCATCAAACTGTTCTGTTCCCATCAACAGGAAACTATTTAATCCTTGATGGCTATGAAACTGTGCAGGAGAGCTCCACAGATGAGGAGGTTGTCTGCTCGCTTGCCCTGCAACCTATGGCAGGCATCCCCACTATCAACTCTACCTACCAGCAGCAGCATTCTCCCCAGAATGCTCATTCTGATGGGGCAGACTCACCCTTCACCCCGGAATTCCTGGTCCAGCAACGCTGGGGAGCTCTGGAGGATTCCTGTTTTGAGATCCAGAGTCCCTCTTGTGCAGATTCACAAAGCCAGATCATGGAGTACATCCGTAAGATAGAGGCTGACCTTGAACACTTAAAGGTACCTCATGTTTTGACATCCTTAGGACTTGATTATAAGAAACCCATTTGGCAGAGAGGAAGTATAGAATGATTGAAATGCTGATGTCAGTAAACTTGTTCAAGTTCTAGATTTATATGCTTCTTTGATCATTATCCATGAGTGGTGGTGTTATTAGCTGCCATTGAGTCAGCTGCCAACTCATGGCGACCCAGTGCACAATGGGATCAGACCGTTGTGATCCATAGGATTTTCAGTGGCTGATTTTTGAAAGTACATCGCTAGGCCTTTCTACCTGGATAAAAAGCTGAGATCAGCATTGTTTCTCTGGTTATAAATTACAGGAACAGAAAAAGATGTAGCTCTATAAACTGTGTGTTTGTACGGGTTTCCAAGTTTAAGAACCTAAATATATTAGGGATTGTTAGCTGGCCACCATGAGAAGATGTGAACAATAAGTGGAGATAGGTGGGGTTTGTGTAGTTAGAAATCTAGGCCAGGAAATGCTATAGCATGCTATAACCTATTAATTATCTGTGAATCATTAGGTGATGTTGATAGTTTTCCAGATGCTGTGACGGATAGAAATTGGCTTCAGTGACTCTCACAATCTAAAAACCAGGCCATGACTGGGATTTTCGTAAATTGGCAATTGAAGATGGCCCTGTATTAGCCACTATTGTAAAATTGACTTGTGTGCTAATTTCTGAGAAAAGGACCCTGTTTTAAAGTTTGCCATTAGTAGACATAGCTGCAAGAATGCAAAACAATTTTTTCATTACATTTGAATAAATAAGAACTTCAAGTAGTTAGAGGCATTAGGGACAGAGTTAAAACCTGATGCCCCTAAGTTTTTCTTTTAAGTTTATATGATAGGTTTCCCCCTTATTTCATATAATTATAGGTCTGCAGCATCATCCTGTTGCTGAGATGTGATGAAATATCTGAAAGGAAATTGTGGGCAGGTCATTTCTAATATAGTTCATGCTGTATGATATGGGACTATTTTTAGGGTGACTTCTGGGGGTGAGGAAATCACCTTTTATGGTTGCCCCTTCCTCACTTTCTTTTTTACATAAGAAAGTTTTAAGTTATTCATTGAAGAGAAAAAGGAATAAAATTTAATTTTTCCCCCACTAACAAAATTCCTAGTAATGTTAGTGTTGAAATTTGGAATCATATACCTGTAATATAAAAAAAAAAGTCTCCTTTACTATTTTCAAAAGTTGCCCCCCACCCACCATCAAGTTTAAGTGAAAAACATACGGGTTTTATTTTACAGAAGGTGGAGGAAAGTTACACCATTCTTTGCCAAAGGCTGGCTGGATCAGCCCTCACAGACAAGCACTCAGGTATGTGAAAAGGACCTTCTAGACTCTAGAATCATCCGGCCTGAACAGTACATTGAATAAAATGATTTATTACTTTTTAAAGCAAAAACCTTCCGAGATTCCATTTCCTTGCTGTCTTTAAGAAAACTGCTTGTTTCTAAGCATTGTAGATCACGCAGAGGTTGTGGTCTGCTGACTGTGCTTTTCTTTTCTGAGAGAGGAACTGCGGTTGTCAGTTCCCATGCCACCCTCCCGCCCCTTTACCTTTTCCAAAGCAGAAGGCGGAGCGGTGGTAAGCCTAGTAAATCTTAGACTCGGTGCAAGATTTGCTGGTGCCCATGGGACTCCCTAGTGGCGGAGGATTGGTCTCCTCAGGTCTTGCAGTACTTCTTTCTGTGTCGGTCCTGACGATGAGGACGGCGTCGCCCTTGACTACAAATGCATCTGTTCAGTGCAGTCATTTCTACTCAGTTGCTCACATTCTTTCAGATGGAGCTGTTCTGATTTAGAAATAAAGATGTAGCCATGCCCACATATTTCATAGGTATTCTTTATAGTGTTAATTTGTTCTTCCCGCTTAATTTGGTCCCCACATATCTTTATTCTTCTCAGATAAAAGTTAGAGCCACATGCCCTGGAGGGACTGAAGGTCGTTGGATTTTGAGCATTGGCATTATATCACCACATCCCGGCTCCAGCGTGGACGCAGAGAGTGTGACAGAGGATCTGCCTGTGAACCACCTGGGTTTGCCGCGTCCCAGTGTGCCCAAAGCGGGACTAGTTCTTCACAGTCTGGCAGCTGCTCTAGTCTGTCAGTGAGGGAATATCCATTCTCTCACTCTACTCTCCTCACTATTGGAAATTCATTTTGATTCAGAACAAAAACCAAATGTATAGAGCTTTGGGTGTAGGATATGAAATTGTACTTAGACTTAAGAAAAAAAAAATCAAATGTATTTATTTGACTTCATTCCGTATTTGAAAGCACATTTTAATTTTTATTTTGCCATGTTTTATTTTAATTGAGTAGTGAGAGTTTTAGCCCATTGTATTTAGTACACCCAAGGATCAACTGCTCCTGAAGCAATGAGTTCTGGATGGGGTTTTAGGAGGTTGGGTAGAGAGGTGAAGAAGATGAGGAAGTGAGAAGAGGGAGGGAAGGAGGGGCATTTTGCCTTCTTTAAACTGTACTCCACGCTCTCTGCTGTTCAGTAGGCTGCTTCTCTGAGGGTCGCCTCAGAGGCATAGTGTGTTGTGTGGCTCTTACGTGCAGAGGACTTGAGAGCTGTGTGCTGCCCAGGTGGTCAGAGAGTAGGTCCCCCATGAGGCAAGCACCTCTTCTCTGTAGCTGGGATCAACCCCCAATTAACAGGAATCCTCAGTGTACTAAATAGCCAGGCACTTGAAAATGGGTATGTTTTCTTCTGTTGTCTTCTTTTCTGTTGAGGGTTGGGATTTGGGAGGGAGAGGAAAGCAAATTTTATTTTCTTGACTATGAATTTGTTATTTTTGGTATTGTTTCATCATTATAATTATACATTAGACTTTGGCATTTGTGTAAAATTATCCCTGCAGCTCAAGCAGGAAGTAAAAACAAATGGAACTGCTTCAGACGGTGGTAGGGGTGGTGGTTGCTAAGGAAGGGTGGGATGGGAGTGGGTAAAGAGTTTGGGAAGGTTATCTAATTGAATCACTACTGAGTTAAACCATGGCTACCATTAGCCACGGGTACTGCTGATTATAAGGCCAGTAAAATTTTAGTACCTGGAGGTTTGACTCTAATTTTTGCACTGATGGTGCCAAAGGGCTCTCTGAGTCAAAAGGAGAGCCCAGGGTGGAGTGGAGAGAGGAGGTGGAGAAGGCAGAACTGCCCAAACCTGCTCCAGAAGTACTTCTTCTGCCTTCGCTGCGAGAGCTCTTTCCACCCTGGTGCATGGCTGACCTTCAAAATTGCAGACCAGAACATACACTGGATACTGCAGGCAAGGTGTTGGTAACTGCCTGCTCTAGGATGAATGGTGGGATCGGCAACACCCTACAGAGAATAAATGTTTCAGAACTGTAACTTGAGAAATCCTTCAATTATATTGGCTTTCTGTGGTTTTCTTTGTGAATCAGGTATATATATGTTTTGGAGTATTTTTGCCAACTAAAACCAAATCATTTGTCAAATATGTAAATTCTGTTAATATATAAGAAGTTCTTCCACTGCTCATATCTTTCCATAGTGCCCTCTGATCTCTGTGGGTAGTCAGGATGTAATTTTTATTTTCCTGCAGTCCAAAAAAAAAAAATTTTTTTTTCTTGTCACAAATAGTAAGAATTCCCAACTACTTTTATAAACACTGCTACAACTTAACAAGCTCATCTATGTCCAGATGGCTGTTTCTGTCTTTTCAAAACTGATCTATGTTTTCAGATAGATCCCCATGGATCTGTGGACCTCATCTATAAACTAGAAATATATTGTGAGTTGTAGATCAAGTATAACTTAAATCAGAATGAAATAAAAAATTTTAGAAGGGGAAGCTAATATGGTGAGGCTTGGGACCTGAAACTATCTGTATCTCTTAGGAGAAGCAAGTAGAAACCAATTGGTTACACTGTGCTGCTGGAAATAATGTAGTTATTCCCAACTAACAGGGTTACACCTGTAGCCACTTGACACTAACACCATCCGCTGGCAATTAATCAGGAGAAGGGTAAACATAATAGAACTTTCATCTTAACTTCAGACACTGCAGGGTTGTTACTTAATTCTGTAGCACTTAATTAAGAAGCTTGTGGGTTAAGCAAAGTTTTCAGTTCTCTTATAGCTCAGCCGATAACTTGTCCTTAGCTTTTCTTTTCACGCAGTTTAACCTCTCCTTGGAACAATAACAAGGCTAACTGGGAAAATACTTTGACCATAGCTCTAGTACTTCTCAATAAATTCATCTTTTTTTTGTTTTTCAAATGACGCCCCAAGACTAAGTTTTATTTTGAAAAGATCCCACAGTTTTGAGTGTTCTTTTCATCTTGCCATACTAACGTCGGCACTCCTCCTTCCCAGCCTGGCCTCCCACACCTTTAATTTCATTAGAGTTGCATCCATTTTTACTTTGATACTTATATCTGCCTTTTGGGATGATGGAATTAGATATTCATCCTGTCTTTGGGTAAGACCTTTTACTGTTACTCTCAGAGTGCTTTTCTCAAAGTTACATGACTACAAGTTGGAATTTGCTTCCATTTACCGAAGGACACAAGGGTGGGAGACAAAGCAACCTTCCCAGAGCAGGAGAGCTGGGTTTTAGCTATTTGAGGTGACCTGCTATAACACTGTGCTCTCAGCTGGGGGCTTAATGGCTCCTCTGCTATTAAGTGTCAAATTACATTTGGAGTGTCTCCTTCCTCTTCAGAGAACAGAGTTAATCAAGGCAAATCAGCAAGCCCCTAAAGTGCTCTAATTTAAAATCATGATTACTGCCCGAGAAGCCATATGTTTTGCATACTTTAAAATCAGCTAACTTGGACTGCTTGAGTTATCTTGGCTTTTAGGAACTAAAATGGAACTATTTATCATATAATAATAGCTTTTTGGCTTTCTCTTCCCCCAGAATAACTAGGACTGTTAGAAAGGACAAGTCCCCTTTAAAAAATTTTTTTGTTTATTTTGGGAGGCGGGGCTAATGTGATATTAGAGGAGAAAAGTCCATTTTCTTATTTTTAGACGCTAAAGAAAGTACGCTTCCGGTGAGCTTTCTTTTACATGCATACTTTTTTTTCCCTCTTTGATGTGGTAAATTTGGTGTGTTACATGGGGCCGACATATTTTAAATTGGAAACTGTCTTCTCTGAAGTTGGTGTGTGATGTTGTTTTGAGCTACTCGAGCTTTGGTCACTAGTTCCTTCCCCATGTGCCACACAGGGCACCACTGACAACTGTGTGCAGAGGACCTCAAAACTTAGCAGGACCTTCCCGTGAACTTTCTGCTGGCTAGTTTTTCCCCCCTAGTATTACAGTTTTTGTTTTGTAAATCATGGTGTTTTTTTTCTTTTTCCCCCAGATTTTCCCACTCCTTTTCAAAATGATCTACCAGATTGTTCTTTTTCAAGAAGAAAGTTTCTTTTGCTAGTTCCTTATGCCTCCTCCACTGGTACTGATGGTTTTGATAATAAATTGGTAGGAAAAAAATGTACCTCCTAGAAGGAAGCCCTCCCCTCATTTCCAGGTGCCAACTGCTAAGCAGATATACTGCAAAAATGGTAACTGTAATGTGCACACTGTTGGTTATTTTTAATAAGTCTCTTCCTACTAGAACATTTTATTTTCCTTGTTCACAATACAATCATGTACTCTTTAACAGAAATTGCTTTTAAAAAAAAATCTGGAACTATCTTTAAAAAATCTTTATTAATAATCATGTATTTTTACTGATCACATTTTGAAATGCCTAAAAGACTTTATTGTTCTAATTATCCAGATGTACCTTTGTAAAATAGCTCTTTTATGAATTAGCTGATAAGGCTGTATGTTTCTGGAACAAAATATTGGTCATCTAAAAACTTTCTGTTTTCTGGGGTCTGGGAAAATAGAAAATGAGAGTTCAAATATTAAATAAGCTTAAAGGAACCAAATATGTGACTTTTTATTTGTATTCTTGGTGATTTTTCTTTATCCTAGTTATATTAGAAAAGTTGAGGAGTAGAGGAGGCCTTAATTAATCTTCCTGGTGGTTACCTTCACACATTTTCCTGCTTCATTGGAGCATCTTTACTAGTGAGAGTGGCCAGGTGGTCTCAGTAACTTACAGACCTCCACAGGAACACTAGCAAGCTGGGATTGGTGAACCCCTAGCGTCTGGGGCAGCTTTTATGATTCACTTGACGATAACTTTGGTTTATGGCTACCCTAAATGAAAAAAAGAAAAGGGGGAAGGGGAGGTGTCTTTATTATCATTCCTATCCACCAATCTTAGGCTTTCTAACCATGTCTGTGCTTGTGTGGATACCAGTTTACCCAGAAAGCTCACTGAGTTTTGGTCTTCTCTGTAGGTTGGTTTTGAAGTAGACAGGTAATCACTTATCCTTGGGATAGTGTTTTAGTTTTGAGTCATTCACAGGGCACATTTGGCTGCCAGATCTAATAAAGCAAAACAAAAGCACTTAGTATTTTTTAGGATCTTTTAAATATTTTAAAAATGAAGGGCATTCAGACTTGCTTTGCATAAATTCACCTGTTTGTGCTCTTAACTGTGTTTACAAACAGAGCTTACACATATGTCTGGTAGAACAAATAAATACCTGTACCATTCTCACTTGCTCCTAGATAGCCATCTTCTAGTAGAAATAGAGAAGATGAACCTATTTGCATGAGAGCAGTTTCTCGACTTTTTGCTGTCCTCTTTCAAGCCAAATGACCGGCTCTCCAAAGATTTAATACCAACTTGAAAGACAAGAGGCTCTACCCTGATTAAAAAGTTGCTTTTCAGTTGAGCATGTCTTCCCACTATGGTGAGTGTTGTAAAACATTACAGATAAATAGCTGGATATAAGTGTTTCCCATTTTCCCCCATAATGTCAAGTAAAATTATTGTTACTAATTGAAAGCACTTTCGTGATTTTAGTTGTCAGAGAATGTTTTGCTGCCTATTATTACTGGTGAAGAGAGACCTGGTGGCACAGTGGTTAAGCATTCAGCTGCTAACTGAATGGTCAACGGTTTGAACTCACCAGCTGCTCTGTGGGAGAAAGATGTGGCAGTCTGCTTCCATGAAGATTTACAGCCTTGGAAACCTTATGGGGCAGTTCTGCTCCGTCCTATAGAGTATGAGTGCAAAGGGTTTTATTACTAGTGAGATGTCACCATTGGTTTGAAATCATTTAAGGTAGGTAAAGCTCTGGTGGTGCAGTGGTTAAGAGCTCAGACTGCTCTCTAAAAGGTCGGCAGTTCAAATCCACCAGCTGCTCCTTGGAAGCCCTATGAGGCAGTTCTGTCCTATAGGATTACTATGAGTCGGAATCTACTGGATGACAATGGGTGAAGCTTTCTTGATAACCTTTCTCTGTTTAGGGTGCTTTTTTTTTTTAATTGTACTTCAGGTGAAGGCTTACAGAACAAATAGTCTTTCATGAAACAGTAGTACACATATTGTTTCATGACATTGGTTAACAACCCCACAACATGTCAACCCTCTAACTTCTCAACCTTTTTTGTTGTTGTTGTTGAAAATACACATAGCCAAAGATACACCATTTCAAAAATTTCTACATGCACAGTTCAGTGACACTGACTACATTCTTCCAGTTGTGCTGTTATTCTCACTTAAGATGAAGGCTTACAGAACAAAATAGTTTCTCATTTAACAGTTACTACAGATGTTGCCCTAAGACAATGGTTAACAATCTCACAACAAATCAACAATATCCTTACTCAACCTTGGGTTCCCTATCACCAGCTTCCTTGTCCCCTTCTGCCTTCTGGCCCTTGTCAGTGGACTACTGTACCTCGTTAGTCTCATTTGGTTTTATGGGGCTGTCCACTCCCAGGCTGAACGGTGAACCTTGGAGATAACTTCACCACTGAGCTAAAAGGGTGTCTGGGGGCCATACTCTCAGGGTTTCTCCAGTCTCCTTTAGGCCAGTAAATCTGGTCTTTTTTTTTTGTGAGTTAGAATTATGTTCTATATCCTTCTCCAGCTCTGTCCAGAACCCTCTGTTGTGATCCTGGTCAGAGCAGTCAGTGGTGGTAGCTGGGCTCCATCTAGCTGTACTGGACTCAGTCTGGTGGAGGAGTCTGTGGACAATTAGTTCTTCATACTAATCTTTTCCTTGTATCCTGTTCTCTTCATTCTCCCTTGCTCCCAAAGAGATGAGACCAGTGGAGTATCTTAGATGGCCGCTCACAGGCTCCTAAGACCCCAGACACTACTCACCAAGGTAGAATGTAGAGCATTGTCTTTATAAGCTGTGTCATGCCAATTGAGCTAGATGTTCCCCGAGACCATGGTCCCCACAGCCCTCCGCCCAGCAATTCAGTCCCTCACAGAGTTTGGATGTGTCTATGGGGCTTCAATGACCTTTCCTTGTACAAGTTGTGCTAGTTTCCCCTGTACTGTGTACTGTCTCACTGTTTAGGGTGCTTTTGGACCACCAATAATTTAAGGCTTCCCTTGCAACATTTATTCCAGGGTATTCCTTTCTTTGCCCATGTGACCATAGGAGTGGGCTGCCTGAACACGTCCTGCTCAATAACACTGATTAGGGTACATCTTGGTAATCTTCCGTAAAATGTTTGGGAAACTATCTCTACAGAGAATTTTTTTCTACTATTATATTTTTAGTATTAAAGATAGCTGGCATGATATAGTGCAGCAGTTCTCAATCTTTTTTTATCTCGGGACCCCTTTCTAAAAAATTGTTGAAGACCTTACTGAGGAGCTGGTTTTCATGTGGATTATATCAATATTTACCTTATTAGAAAGTAAAATGAGAAAACTTTAAAGCATTTAATTCATTTAGAAATAATAGTAAACATATTACATGTTAACATAAATCATATTTTTATGAAAAATTCCTGTATTTTCCACAATAGGGAAAATTTATTGAGATTTTTATAGTTTGCAAATCTCTTTCAATGTCTGGTTAATAGAAGACAGCTGGATTATCACATTTGCTTCTGCATGCAATCTGTTGTGATATGTTGTTTTGGTTGAAGTATATGAAGAAGATCCAGCCTCACACAAATAAAAATTTAGGAAAGGGAGGAGTATTTTAATAGCCTTTTCAGATAATTGTGGGTATTCTTCTTTGATGCTACACTGAAACTTAACAAAGTGGTAGCTTCTTAAAGGATTGCTACAATATGAAATCTGAAACCAAATCGAAGAACTTTTTGTACTCTGTTACATTAAAGCCCAAGAGTCTATTTTAAAAATTTAAATGTATGAAGGATGGGATCTTTTACCCGAATGATTTTGTAACATCCTGCATTGGTCATTTGGAAAATATTGGTTCACTGAGTTATGCAGGTCTTCCAAAGTTATGACAAATTTCTTTATACAATATTAAAAAAAAAATCACGTTAATATCACAACTGACCTCATCAGAAAAGTCTCATGATAGTGGATACAAATTTCCCATAATTCTAATTTGTACTTGAAAGCTTGAATTTTATCTTTGGCAACAAGTATGGTTGTTTTCCTTGAAATGACAGGCTCACTTTCTTCATTTTTGAGAAAATGTCTGCCACATACCCAAATCTGAATAGTAATTGCTTATTAATCATTTTTACTTTTTTCAAGTAAAAATGATCTTCCCTTTAAAAAAAATGTGTGGCTGGTTTAGCTCTCAATGCAAACAATTCCACAATTCCTTTTTCCTGAAAACGCAACTGTGTTACTTTAGTATGTGACAGAGGGGCTTTATGCATATTTTCCATTTTATCACATAGAATATTAAAGATACATACTGTTAAGTATTGAGATTTAATAAAATTATTAAGTTTTACTGTTTCAACGAAGGTATTCTTAAGTGAAAATGGCATTGTTTGTATTACAAGTGAGTGTTAGTGATGCTGATTTGTGCTAAGCTGCCAGCGGTTTTACCCTCCGTTGCTTTTGCGCCATCAGTGCAAATGTTAACATGGTGAAAAAGCAAGTGGTGTGTTAGTAGTTTTATAAAGATAGTTTTGACTTCCTAGACCCCCTGAAAGAGCCTTGGGGACCCCCAAAGTTTTGCAGACCATACTTCCACTTCGATAACTGTTGGTGTAGTGAAAAGAGCCTGACCTTAGACCATCTGGACTCAATCCCAGCTCTTCTACTTACTTGCTGTGTGGCCTCAAGCAGGTTACCCTCTCGGTTTCCATTTTCTCATCTGTAAAATGGGGCAAATAATACTTCACCCAGCAGGGTTGTTGTGAAGATTAATTAAATGAGGAATCACAACACAAGTGGTTGGTGTCACCCAAACTTTTTTTTTTTTATTCAACCATCTGGGTAATTAAAGTAGGAGAGGAAAAATATGGTTAATGAATTTAGAATATGTAAACTTCTCTTGCTGAGTTAATGGTTATAATGGTTTTGTAGATCTAAACCCTAGGCTCTTAGGTGTGCGTGTGCGTGTGTGTGTTCATTTTTTAATAATTGATTTGCTGACCTTGATTATAATATACTTGTTTAACCTAATTAATCTTCTA